GACGCAGCACTGGCTCCTTCAGTTTCGCCTGTGCAGGTTGGAAGTCGCACTGCGCAGTCGTGCCGTGGACGGCTTGAAAGAGCCCTGCGAACGTCCCAAGAGGGCCCCGGGAACGCCCGACGCTGCCCCGCGACGGCCGCAAGAGGCGGAGTTTGGGCCCCCGGGGGAACGGCGCTTCCACGGGGCACCCCCGCATTATTAAATCAACATACGCACAGAGAAAACCTAAATGTGGCTCGCGACCCCCGCAGTTCCCCGCGCGAGCTTCAAGACCAGCCCCGATGCTTGGAACTGGCCCCGAGCCGGTTCCAAGGCGGCCCCCCCGAAAGGACTGAGAGCTGAGGTGGCCCCCCCAGCCCAACGGCCCCGAGTGCAAATGGATAGCGAAGGCGCCCCCCCACCTGGGGCCCCCGGGGCCCGGGGGGCCCCCCGAACCAAGCCGCAGGCTCAAGATTCAAGAGGACCGCGGAGCTCGCGACGCCATCAATGGTGCACTACACAACCATGCAACATATGCTTAGCTTGCCGACCCGCCCGCGCGGTCAGCCACGAGCAGCGGCGCGCGCGACTGCCATTCTGCGCGCGAAATGCGCGGGGAGCTCACCCCCCCTTCCCCCCGCCCCCCCCCCCGCCCATTCCTGGCCGCCCCGCAGAGTGGGGCAGCAAGACGCGTTTGCCAGCGTGGGGGAAATGGGTGCGTGACCCCCCCCCTCTTCCCCCCCTCCTTCTCCCGCCCCCATCCCCTCCCTGTCTCGGTCTTTTCCCCCTCGACGTGGAGACGGGGCCGGAGCGCGACGGGCCCCGCCCCCCCGCGCCCCTGCCGCTGCAAACCAGATGGCCTGCGGCCACGCGCAGCGGAGATCGCCTCCACGGCCCGCTTCCGTTTGACTCGTAGTCTGAATGCAGCGGGCTCTTGAGCGGCGGACGCGCGGGGATTCGTCGACGCACGGCGTTCTTTCAGATGCCGCTCCACGGCCATTTGTCTACGCGATGCCCGCGCGCCCTCGCCGGGCCCCGTCCGCTGCCCAGACAATCGTCGCATGTCATCTCGCTGCGATTCCGCCCCGGGGCGAATCCCGCGCGCTTTATTGACTGCGGCGAATTGCATTCATGCGCTCCGGCTTCGGGTCCGTAAATCTGCGATGGGCCTCCTCCTAGTGCGTCGAGGCGGCTGCATGACTGATGCGCGCTTAATTGCTGCTGTTAGGTCCGACATGACATGGCGTCGTAGACGTGGGTGTGTTTTGACTTCTGCCAACTTCGAAATCATTCTCTGGCGAGCGAACTTGCGGTGCGTTCGACATGAGATTTGGCGCTTGCGTCAGCGTTCGGCCTCGCACCCCCGTCACTTCCTGCCCCAATCCGCGTCTCCTCTCTCCATTCAGAGACGTCAGCGGAGTAGACTGGAGACATCGACGGAGGAACAGCTTGTCCGCCCATGCGCTGGAAAATGCCATCGAGACATTGCGCGCAAGCGTCGCGCTCTACGCGTATACCCCCGGTGCACCTCGCAATCCTCTCCTCGTCGAATTCCTCGACGGTGAGCGGCGACATTGTGAACTTCGGCCCATGGCGTTTGAACGCAGTGCGGCAATATGCCGAACCAGCCGCCACCTGCGCGTGCAATGACGCCGCGAAATATTGCCCGTCTGCGCACGTTGAAATCGTGGGAGGCCGCCCTCGGCGAGAAGAATCGGACTATGAAGGAGCACGTTCCTGCTGCAGCTTGGCGGCGCGGCTCCCGCCCAAAAACGACCTCACCAGAACAAGCGATTCCTGGGAAATTTGTTCCAGGCGTTGACGGTGGCCAGCTGGCTGTTCATCGACGGGGCCGGGCGTTTGCCTCATCTGAGCATCTACGCCGGCCTTCAACCCCCCGTCGCGCCCGTTACTGTGTCGAAGTATCTCTGGAGAGGCGCGTTGGAGGTCGCAGACACCGTTGAAGTTCTGCTGCCGCGATCGGCATTCGCAAACTTGATCGGCTTCTTCGCGCGAGCGCATGCGTTCGCCGCGTGGTTGACGCCCCCATGCGCGGGCCGCTGCCGCAGCCAGCCGCTCGGCGCCCTGCCCCGACAGATTGTCGCGCATCTGGTAGAGGAACTTCGGCAAAGCCCCGCGCAAGAACACGCCGCGCAACATCCAAAAACTTACCTCCTGGAACTCCTTGAGGCGATGCACGCGGCAAGCGGGGCATCCATCACTGAATGACATTCCCAGCGGTTTCTTGACCATGGAGTTGAAAGGTCGTCGGCCTCCGCGTGACTTGAGCAGGCGGGGCCGTGGCGGTTAGCGATCTGATCGGACTCAGGGTCGGAGATGAGCTCCACTGCGACGAAGTCCAAGTCGACCTTTCGCAAATCACGCGCACCCGAAGTCATCTCCAATATGGGTCTAACGTTGGCCTTCCATCTCCTCGTATCCTGGGGCTCCTCCAAAGCATCTGGGAAAGTTGCTCCCTCTGCCAGAAGATCGAGCTGTCGAGCTGCGCTTCGAACCTGTCGCGGGACCGCCTGCCCTGCCAAAAAAAAGCCAGCTCGGACCACATTTTAAATCGAATCGTTTTGTAAATCGAAATTCGGCCGCAGAGCCAGCGTGAATTGATGCGCGTAGCAACCCAATCCGCACGCAGTGAACTCTGAAGCAGCACCCCGACGTTGTCTCGCTGGCTCCAAAAACGCTTGGATGAGCTTGTTGCGCGCATGGGCGCCCTCGGTGAAGACGACAAGCTTCTCGGGGAGCATGTCTTGTGCAGGTCCGCATGCATTGCCCATGTCGGTCTTCGTGCCAGGCCTCGGCGGGAATTTTGTCTATTGCTGCCGGCGGTTGTGCGTCGCCCTTCAGTTGCCCCGCGGCAGCGGAAACGCGGGCGTCGCGAGCCCCAGGGCCCAGTCAAGCAATTCGGCTGTGGTTCGAGCGGCGCGACGTGCACCGCTTGAGACACACGCAAACGTGTAATTCGTTTGTGCCGGCCACGCTTCTTCTCGCGCTGATCTTGGCCTTGGCGCGGTTCATCAGCGTCGCGTTGCCGAGGTGGCCGTCGCGCATGCGTGTCCGCGTCATCCGTTGTCGACGTGGCATAAGCTTGAGCTGAGGAACGAACGCGTGGCATTAGCTTGAGCATGGGCGTGTGAAACAACAGAACGGCGAATCTCGGCACCCGTTGATTCTCTGATATCTACGGGTATCTGGAGGCCTGCAGCTCGAAGTTCGTGCGCCCTCATCATTTGAACGTGGAGATTTGCTGCGACCCACCATTTTCAGCGGCGAACGTCCACTGAAGGTCGTTCGGTTATGGGCCATCATCGAACGACTTACAATGGGTGTTCGCGCGTGCCTGGGGGACCGGGGTAGCGCGGTCATCGGGGGGGAGAGGGTTGTAATGGTGTGATATGGGTATTGTTGCATATGCGTGCGTATGTGCACATGTATACAGTCTCTGGGCGCGGGGCCTTTCATCCGCGGAAGCATTCGATAACGATTGGGGCCAAGGGCGGATTCTTATGTTGGCGCAGGGGCGGTGGCAACGAATCGCGAAGGTCCTTCGCGTCCGGAGCGCTGACGCCACAGGCCGCCGTGCTGCGCCGCTCGGAGGCCCCGCTGGCCTCTTGCACGTTCTCGTGGGGCTTCGCAACCGGGCGCCTCCGAGCACCTGCGGCGGTCCGAGCGCGACGAACGTCTCCGAGCCTGCGGCCACGACCTCGCCCCGCAGCTGGGACGGCGGGGCCCCGTGCACGGCAGCGACCTCGCCCAGTCGCTCGGCCTGGGCCTACATGGCCACGGCCTCCTCCATCTGCCTGAGGCGTTGGCGCTGGCGGTGGGCCACCGCCGGCCAGCAGCAGCCCTCACGTGGAGGTCCAATGTGGATCCTCGAGCCAAAACGGCTACGCAGTGGTTGCGGTGGTACGCGATGTATCGAATCTGAACGTTGTGAATACACCGACTGTGGCCCGATACTGCTAATGTGCGCGTTCTGTGATGCGTTTGTTTTCTTGCGCGTGCTCAGTGTTGTGCGAGAGCCGACGATGACCGAGACGCGCCAGTATCCCAAATGCCAGTGGACGCAACGGGTCTTAGATTAGCCAGCGGAAGTGCATGCTCGAATCGCAACGACACGCACCACGCGCAAAAACTTAAAACAGGGATTTGGGAGACGGATTGACGCAGCCAGCCTCTTAGGGCCCCCGGCATGGGCGGATGGGACCATCGCTTTTCATGTCTGATGGGCGCAGGGGCGAATATCAAGAGTTGATAAAAGAACATACGACCAGAAAATTATACGTCGCCGTTGGGGGGATCACGGCACCATGGGCAAGCATTCGCAATGAGACGCCCACGATTATGGAATGACTATGGTGATGCGTGTATGTGTAGATACGAGTGCGTTGATTGTCGTTTGCATTCTTAGAGACATGCTTTGAGTGAGTTGCCGATATTGGTTGTTATCTCTTGCTTCTGGGTGGGATAATCGATGTTGCACATTATGTGCAGTGTATTGTCATGAAAAAGGGGCGCCTCGAAACCCAATCGTTTCATGAGAGCACGTTGTGTAATAACACTACGAGCACAGACTGAGACCCCAATTGAACTTGCAATTACCACGGCTAGCACCTTCACGCACGTCGAGGGAATCGCATTGGACTCGATTGTCTACAACGAGTGCTATTGTACAAAAGCTGGAATATCACAACTGCAAACCATGCCCACGCACTTGTTTCCCGAAGTATCCAGACACCGAGCAAATCTGTTTCCCAACAGCATCTTGACATGGGGCGAGAACGTGTCGAACTTATGCCCTTTGTAAAGCTCTGAACTGGGAAGCTATGTGGCCTTCCTGAAACGCTTGTTACTCTGATGCGGGAGGCAGCCATACACATATTTTCTGCGTTTACGCCCCCCCCCCCCCCCATTATCAATCTTTTCCATATTTTCCGGGGGATCGACGACTAACTGTGTCTGTGCTTTTTCCCTTCCTGACTCTCGACCGGCGGGCCGCCCCCGCGTCACAGCGAGGCCTCGGCCTTCCGGATGCTCTGCTCCAGGGAGCTCGCCTCTCGGGGAAGGAGGAAGGCCGCTCCCGGCGCGGTGCGACGAGCGAGGAGCAGGGCTCGAGCTGAACTGGAGGCCTCTCAGATGGGGTCGGAGCAGACTGAGGTCGGGCGTGTCCTCGTACAGGCGAATTTGGGACAAAACATAAGACATGAACAAAACATACTCAAACACTTTCAAAATAGTCGAAAGAATCGTCCCCTGAGTATTTTTCTACTATTTTCCCCCTGTAGAAGAAAAAGGCCTGACTTAAGAGTAGATGGGGTCGGAAGATCGCGCCGCTTCGCCAATGCATCGGCGGTGTATCGGCGATGTATCGATGATGCATGCGCAAGCGATGCAACGTCGACATCGGCGGTGCATCGGCGACGTCGACGTCGAGCAAGTCGGGCTCCACATCGAGCCGCGTCGCCGATGTATCGGCGATGCGGCTCGATCCTCCGACCCTATCTACTCCGACCCCACCTAGGAGGCCTAGATAAACAGTGCTTGTCGTTTTCGTGTTGTTTTCGTCTTCCTTCGTTCTGTCTTCGATTGGCCTTCGCTGCGAAACGAAATCAAAACGAAAGCGGTCCACTCAATCGCCAAGACACCGTTTAGCTCGGGCCCTGGAAGGCAAGGCGTACGGCAGGATCGCGTCGTGGCGACCCGGGCGTTGGTGCCTGACACTGCGGGGATCGTTCATCCCTGCACGATGGGCCGCTTCCGAAATGTCCGATCGCCCCACGTCGATCGATTCTGGGCTGCCGCCGGCGTTCAACGTTGAACGCAGGCGGCGGGGTCGCCGCCGGTCGACACGACTCGTAAATACCTGTACCTCGGCCGACTGTACTCGGACCCCATTTGTGATGCCTAGAAGGGGAGGAGGAGGAGGAGGAGGAGGAGGAGGAGGAGGAGGAGGAGGAGGAGGAGGAGGAGGAGGAGGAGGAGGAGGAGGAGGAGGAGGAGGAGGAGGAGGGGGAAGGAGGAGGAGGAAGGAAAGGAGGAGGAGGAGGAGGAGAGGACAGGAGGAGCTAAACAAGGAACGAAGGGGCTTCTCTGGCCACGACGGGCCTCGTCCACAAGCAGGTTCCCCGGCTTAGATCTAAGAAACGGCCCGAAAACCAGAGCCCCTCCTCAGCCCCAAGTGGTCCTCACTTCAGTGCCTCTTGACTGCAGGAGGAGGATGCAGGAAGCAGGGAGAGAAGAGCAGGGAAGCAGAGAAGAGAGAGACGGGCGAACGAGAACGACGAGAGCGAGGACAAAGGGGGAAGACGGAGGCCCGAGAAGACATCAGAAAGAGAGAGAAAGAGAGAGAGAGAGAGAAGCAGAGGCGTCATAGAGGGCGGGAAAGACGGGTGACTCTGGCCGCGCAGGCGAAAGGGGCGGCGGAGGAGGCGCTTCGCACGGATTTCTTTAATCTGCGCTGGATCCCCCTCCCTTGCGCGCGGAGCGCGCCAAGGGCGGCGCAGGGGGCGCCGCCGGGGGGGGGCCCACCGCGGATCCAAGAAATCCGCGCGAAGCGCCAACAGTTTTTGGTTATGCTGTTTTTCTCTTCGAGAGGAGAATCACAAGACGAACTAGAAAGAGTCACAGGGAAGCGCGAGGGGCATGCTGCATGCGCGGCATGGGCCCCGGGACTAATGACGAAAGCCAGACCAGGTGGCTGCACTCAGGGAAGAGGTGGAGGTGGAGAACGGGGAGGAAGATGAGGGGGAGGAGTCTGCGCCAACGCCCGCAAGCGCCACCGCAGAGGCGAACCTATGAAGAACGCTCTCGGGAGCCGAGGGCTTCCGAGCCTCCCGTTACATGTCGCACATGCGATGAGTTGTCGCTGATCGCTCCCAAGACTCTCAAGACCAAGATCTCGTTGAGATCTCGTTAAGATCTCATGATATATTTGTTTTTCTTGGTTGCGACTTCGTTGATTTCGTTGTTTGCTCATTAAACATGCAAGTTTAATGGTCAGCGTCGGACGCAGAGCGCTCGAGCGCTCTAGGCCCAAGCGGAGCATGGAGCGGCCGAAGAGGCCAGCTCAGCCTTCGATAGCTGAGATTTAGGAGGCCTTGCCTCTCAAGGTAGGGAGTCGTTTTGTCTTGTCTCTCCAAGGGTATTGCCTCTAGGGAGTCTTTGGTCCAGCGAGTCTTGTCTCGATATCTGAGGTTTAGGGTGTCGTGTACAGGGCCACCATGCTCGACACCCTCTCCAGGAGCGTGCGCCGCCGCAGCGCCGATGCCTCGCAACAATGCGCTTCTGGGTCCACTGCCCCACCGAATGACACATTCGCAAATTCAGGATTCCTGATGCAGCGTGTCGTCCACTGCTTTTTGCTGCAAGATCTGTGGCGCTTATGAGGTTGCAGAGGGCATTGCTCAGAACTTGCGCGCTGTCTGTAAAGGAGTGCCCAAGTCAAAGAGCTCCCAGGCAGGGGCTGCCCTTCGAGTTCGGAGAACTCTGCGGGCCGTCACCTTGTCTCCAACGAGCCGCTCTAATATGAGTGGCCTCAGCTCAGAGCTTGGCCCTGAGCCTACACCTCAATTTCTTAGAGAAAACACCCTCGGTCGATGGCGACAGGCGCTTTGACGAGGGAGTCTACTGTGCTGCTTCGTGGTTGTCACCTCAGCTGCGCTTGCAATGGGCACAAAAGAATTGTTCTGGGCCCAAGCGCCCTCAAAGCAGCCCAGCATGACCGAGACTGCGAGCATGCGGGCGCGCGAGGGGCTGCGCCCGCTGAAATCCACATCCTCGCCCTGGCACCTCCGCGTGGCTTTGGGTGAGGCGTAGTACCCTGTGCGAGGGTATGACGAGGCTGTCCTCATCGCCGCAAGCCAACTCTCCAGCTCATCGCCTCGGCACGCGCACGCACTCGCAGCAGCTGTCCCCAGCGCCACGAGCCCGCCTGTCCCCCGTCAAGCCCCACGCCGAGGACGGAGGCCGCATCGCAGCCCAGAGCTCGAGGGCCGCGGCCCCTCTGCTCCGCAAGGGCAAGACCGCCCTCGATTGCCGTCCTCGTCCCGGCACCGCTCGGTGTGGCCCGCGGGGCCAACGTCGGCCCACCGCCGTGCGCCGCAAATGATGGGCCAATTGTCCACCACCACTGCCACATGCAGGACGAGGGAGACGGAAGGATGAGGAGGTCCTCCTCCTCCTCCTCCTCCTCCTCCTCCTACATATGGTAGCGGTGGTGGAAAATGGGTCCATCAACAGACGCAGGCGCCCGCGCCCTGGCCCTCCTGGCCCGTGCCATCGGCACGGCGCGGGTCCACCGCAAGCTCCCCCCCCGCGGCCCACAGGCTCTGAAGCCCCGTCCGGCGCGACGGCCCTCTGCAGTGTGGGCGCGGCCGCCAAGAGGCCCTCGCGGGAAGCCCAGCCCTGAAAACCCGCGCGCAGGGTGCACCTGGAAGGCAAGCCAGGAGCACCCGGAACGCAGCAGCTTCTTCCGCGGCTGCGGGAAGCCACCGCGCAGCGATGAAACCCAGGATACCCAGACTGAAAGCAGATGGTGTCCTGATGCGCGCCCCCACTGCAAGGCTGCACCTAAACGTTGCTTTTCGTCTTGCTGTCGTTCTGTTTGTCGTTTTGCTCTACCCGATTTCCTGTACCTCCCTGGGAAAACGAAAAACAGAACACAGCCGAAGTCCAGCAAAACAGCGTTAGGTCCAGCCCTGCCCCACTGTACAGCACGTCCTCGGCAACGCGTCCCCGGAGGTCGTCGTCGCCATCCTGCTCTCCGCTGGTGTTCACATGGTGTGGGGGGGGCATCTCGGGAGGAGGGGAGAGGGGAGGGCTTGGCGGAGTGGCGACCCCAACCGCCAAGTTGAGGATCTGCAGTAAGAGCTTGAGCACAAGGAACCTTCCACAAGACCGACGACCCTGAAACCCCAGGACATCGATCGACTTTCCGTGCGGGAACGTCACGCTTTCCATAGCAGAGCCATGGAATCCCAAGAAATCCAGAGCACCCTGGAGGCAAACAGGGTGTTTCGTGGCACGGGTTTCCACTGTAAGACCCTTAAACTGTCGTTACGGGGCCTGCTCCGCCGCGTCGTGACGCGGCTCAGAGGCACCAAGAGAGACGGAGGGAGGGAGCGGAGAAACGTGGTGGACCAAGAACAAGAGCTACGAGAAGTTCCCCGAACAGCAGGCCTGGGCCTGTATGGAGTCCAGCGCGCTCGCATGGGCGTCAAGAACGCGCACCTGGCCCCACTGATGCTCATACTACCGACGCTGTTGCTAAATGCTGCTGCCCCTCATCGTACCTCTCCTGACCCTCCTTCTGCTCCTTTCACTGCTGCGACCGCTGCTGCAGGGATTGCTCCATGTCCTCTTCCTCATCCTCCTCCCCCGTCGAGCGCAGCCGATGAGCAGTCCGACGACTCGTGCCACCCCTCGCGCCGATGGCGATCGGACGATCTGCCCGCAGCTCGTTCAGATTGACTCTGGCTGCTCCTCGACGTTTGCTCGGCGGCCGTGTTCGCAGCAGACCGACCGTCTCCGCGCGAGGGGCTCGGTTGAGTAGGGCCCTGGGGTCAGGTCTGCAAAACACCCCAAACGGACGTCAAGGGGCGCAACCAACCTGTCTGGTCAAACTGAAATTGATGCACCACACCGGGCGTCAAGCCAAAACTTTGGACATAAGCGACCGGCTGCATGTTGCAATGTTGCACGTCTGCCTCGGCTTCACCAGCGAGGCGTTTGACCATCTTGACGTCCCCTTTATGGTGGTCCTGCAGAGGAAGGCGCTCTCTGACCCTCGGCCCTACTCAAGCCCGCAGCTCGTTCAGATTGTCTCTGGACGCTCCATCGACTTCTGCTCGGCGGACGTGCTCGCAGCAGACCGACGATCTCCGCGCGCAGGGCTCGGCAGCGAGCGAAGCGAAGCAAGACATCGTTTAGGTCCAGCCCTGCTTTTCGAGGCAAGCCACGGAGCGCCAGTACCCATGAGGAGGATGGGAGGAGGGAGGAGGAGGAGGAGGAGGAGGAGGAGGAGGAGGAGGAGGAGGAGGAGGGAGGAGGAGGAGGGAGGAGGAGGAGGAGGAGGAGGAGGAGGAGAGAGGAGGAGGAGGAGGAGGATACGACGCTGCAGGGAACGGTCTCGATGGGGCGGGCACGCCCCAAAGACAGCCTGGACCAGCCTGCCGGAGGGCCCGCAGGCGCCCGCAGATCTCGACGCGGCAGCTCTGCAGGCTCCGTCTCTCCCCCTCCCCTCTCCTGCTCCCATCGCTTCCCTTCCCCGACCACCTCCTCCTCAGGAGGAGGAGGAGGAGGAGGAGGAGGAGGAGGAGGAGGAGGAGGAGGAGGAGGAGGAGGAGGAGGAGGAGGAGGAGTACTGCGTGCGCACCCCGATGTGCACCGTGGATGTGCAAGCTGTGTGGTGCAAGCCATCGGGTGCGTCTCTGTGGTGCCATCTGCGCATGGCCACTGTCAACGCTGTGCAGTCTGCGCGGTGGCATATCTGGCGTGCAAGCTTCGCCGTGCTACCGAAGCGCCAACCCGTGCACGAAGCAACCCCGAGACGACCACAGGCGGCCACCAGGGCGAAACCCCTGGGAGCGCCCACGGGGCGAAACCGCGGAGAAGCTGCCGACTGTTCTGCAAAGAAGACCCTTCGGTGCACGCACTATCGGGAAGATTCCTCCTCCTCCTCCTCCTTCTCCTCCTCCTCCCTCACCCCTTCCCCCCAGACTTCCTTCTCTGTCTCATCCAACTGCCCAGCATCCGCATTATTCCCGCTGTGTCCTCCTCTCTCCTCTCGCGTGACATCCTTCATGGTACCTGACCCCTCGTCTCCCGCTCGGCGTCCCTCGACACCCTCTCCTCATCTCTCGTCATTTCCCCCTCCCCCATCCTTCAACCTCCCGTCTCCCCCATTCCCCTTTGCTACTCCCCCTCCTCCTTCGCCCCACCATTCATCATCGTAGCAATCATCATATATCGCATGTGGCTCACCACGCGCATCCAGGAGCAGGTTCCTCATCCCCCTCACCACATAAGTACAACACATGTTATATACACGCACGGCCTCCCATTCATCATGCGTCATCCTATTCAACCCCACGCGCTCCCTCCAGCCCTCCCTGCTTCTGATCCTGCTGTCTTCCTCCCTTCCCCTATACGTATCATCCTCTTCGTGTCCCGCGCTCTCCTGTTGCTGCTCGGCGTCCTACTGCTCGTGTGGATCCTCCTCGTCCTCGTCCCCCGTTCCTCCCTGCGTGCGGCCTTATCTCCTTTTCTGCCGCCATTGTGTTTCATTCCGCCTATTCTTCGTCGTCGGTTCCCTCCTCCTCATCCCCAGCGCCTGGACTCGATTGCCCACGTTGCCCCTTGCCGCATGTCCTCCAGCCCCATCGCTCCCCTCCCCTCCCCTGTCCCGTCTCATCCCATCCCAGCACCATTCTCTCCCCCCCCTCCCCTCCCACCATGTCACTGCATGTTCCCATTCCATCCCCAGTTTCACGTACCCACGCATCCCGCACTCGTCTCTTCGTCTTATCTTCGGCATCCCTTCATCGCTCACCCTCCACTCTACAATTGAAATTTACGGAAACGGCTCTCCTCAATGCCCGGTGCTGTCGACCTTCTCCCCACGTGGTGGCTTGTACACACAAGATTGTCACGGTGTGGCGTTCGATGTGTCTCCCAGATCAGGACGTTCCTTGCCATTCGAGTAAGATGACATGCTTCAACGTTGGCCGCGTCTCAGGATCGGCATGTTGCTCCCGTCCTTCAGAACGGCGTTCTCACCCCAGCATGGGCCATATTGTTGGTCCGATTCCTTCTATGTCGTTGCTGGCCCCTCATTTCCCATCATCCACCTTCCCCTGGTCCTCCTGCTTGTCTGGCTCCTCGTCTTGCTCCTGCTGGTGTTGATCCTGCTCGTCCTCCTCCTCCTCCTTTATCGCTACCTCCTCTTCCTCCTGCCCATTCTCTTGCGCATCCGCTACCACCTCCTCCTCCTCCTCCTCCTCCTCCTCCTCCTCCTTCTCCAATACACCAAGCTCCCCCTGCTCGTTGCGCATCATACGATGGGGTGATGTCGGGGATCAAGGCCCCCGAGGACACTCCGATCGGCGGGCAGCAAAGGCAATGTAATAAACGGATGGAACTCGCGTAACTTGCCGTCGTCGCCCCTCAGTCTCGTTCCCCAAACAATGCTTGCTCTGAAGGGGCCCTTGCGGACGTTGAAAGATTTGGCGAAAATGTCCCGCCGATTTTGGTTGCTAGTTGGGTTCCCGGGTTTTCGGTTCTGGGTTCCCGGGTTCCGGGCCGATTTCGGAGGGCGCGAGGTTCCCGGGTTCCCGGGTTCCCCGGGTTCCTGGTCGATCTTCTTATCGATCGGTCTCACCATCGATCTCATTACCCACCTCTATCGATCTCACCATCGATCTCACAATCGATCCCACTATCGATATCACTAGAGATCGCATGAGCGATCTCGCGATCGATCTCATTGAATCGATTTCACTCTCGGTGTCACGATCGACCTTACAATCGTCCTCACTATAGAGTCCACTATCGATCTCATAATCTATATCACAATCGATCTCAATATCCATAGTATTAATTTCAAAATCATCCAGTGATTGGGTTTCTCAGGTGTAATACTTTCATTCTGCGTCATCCCTCCCTCGCCCACTCTCCTGTATCACGCCTCTCTTGTGAACGTTTCTTGCTCCTGCACCTTTCCCTTTGCTTGGTACCGCATGTATCGCGCCTCTGCTCGCCTCTACACTAGTATCCGGATGCATGATAGAATTCCATCACCGTGCCTTTTGCCTGGTCATCCTCAACCCAATGCTGTTTCGACGACCCACTGCACAACCACAATCGAACTCGTACCGCGCCCACTGCAGCCAACACGGGTGGGCGACTCCATTGGACCCACCAACACGATTGTCGGCGGCGAGCCCAGGGGGACCTTCTCGGCGGGCTCGAAAGGCCCCGGACCTTCAAAGAAGTGTTCGAACCCTTCCCCGAAGGCGCAGACAACTTGTCACAAGGCCGGATGCTTTCTGAGAAGCCCCATCGCATTCCGAGAGGGCCTCCTCCTTCTCACTTCCCCACCCCCGCTCGCCGCCGAGATTGTGCCCACTCTGAAGGGGATCGGCGGCCGCCATTGATCCTGATGCTCAATTGTTCTGTGATCTGTCCGTCCTCCGCACCCTGCGGCTCCCCTCTCCCCTCCGCACCACCGCAGCCGACCGACATCCAAATACATGTTCCGAGACCGCCCGCACACATCGACAACGACAAAACACAACCTGTGCTGGGGAAACCGAGAGGTACCGATACCGCTACTCCCCGGACCTCTCCCGGGGTGCGCTCCGATCAGGATTTCTATGCGAATGCAGCGCTGGCGACGAGGGCCTCCGATGGGGGCCCACAAAAGGCGAAACCGAGAGGAAGGAAGTGGTATGCGTACCTTTTGTCCCTCTGACTTCTCCTCGTCGTCCTCCTCGTCCTCGTCGTCCTCCTCGTGCTCCTCCTCCTCATTCCCGTCCTAGTCTTCCTCCTCCCCCATGAAAGCTCTCTCCTCCTCGCCCTCCTCATCCGTCGACGCGCTCCGCTTCGATGTTGAGTCTTGTAGTGGCCGCTCGCACTCAAACCACGCGAAGTGGACGTCGCAGAAGCAGTGGCGAACAGGATGCAGCCCTCCGCCCCTTTGCGGGTCGACGCGCTCCGCCTCGAGGTTGAGTCTTGTAGCGGCCGCTCGCACTCAAACCACGCGAAGTGGACGTCGCAGAAGCAGTGACGAACAGGATGCAGCCAGGCCAGGCGACCAGGCTGCCTTTGCGGCCAGGCTTCCCAGAACTGTGGCCCCCTTTGCGGGCCACAATTCTGGGAAGCCTGGCCGCAAAGGCAGCCTGCTGCGATGCAGCCGGGCTCCGGCGCGATGCAGCCGGCCGCAAAGTTCGGCTCCGGCTGCGATGCAGCCCTCCGCCCCTTTGCGGCCAGGCTTCCCAGAACTGTGGCCCCCTCGGACCTTCGCCGCCGCCCTCCGCCACCCCCCCCGGGCGCCACGGAGGTGAGCGGCTCGGCGTAGAGAGTGGACCTGCTCGCGCGGCTGGGGGGGCAGGGGCCAAGACGGAGAGGAGAAGGAGGAAAAAGGAGGACGAGGAGGAGGAGGAGGCAGGGCATATAGGCAGGAGCAGGAGGAGAAGCAAAGGGGGAGGAGCAGGAGGAGGAGGAGGAGGAGGAGGAGAATTCGATTCGATTCGATGATATGGGAAACCTGTGCGCATGCACAGCCCCACGCGGTCAGCCCAGATTTAGGGTCGACCTAACAAAGACACCCTGCACCTCCATGGACGGGTACAAAAATAATGGCGTAGAAGACAATGAGCAACCACACCGACACGATGCAATCCGCAGTGACGAACTAACAATGCCCCTCCAGCAATATCCCCAGGAAGGTGGCGAGCTGCATGCTTCTGTCAAACACCGGCCAGAGAAATTGAAAATAACACGCAGCGAAAAACACAATGCCGAAATGCTGCACCAAACCATGCTTGCCATGACCGCCACACCGAACACCACGAGGCCACGTACTCCGAGAAGCGTGGCGCATGCCACACCCACGCGATGTGGCCCACGAGCACAAACCGCGGCAAGACATGATGAACAACTTCGCTCCGTGAGAAGACAAACACAAACGAAGACAATGATGAAGACACCCGGCACTAGTAGTGACCCGAAGTACTAAACTGCGCAACATCCAGCAATGCTCACTGTGGCGAGCCGCACGCTACTTTCAACCACCAGCCAGAGAATAACAATATAAAACCCACCGCGTGCAATACACTGCCGACCGCTGCACCAAAACGTCCTGAGGGCACACCAGGCCCAAGGGCGAAGGAAATGCTGGCCAATCGGCTCATCCCTCGAGACTTAAATCAAAAATACCTGAGCCCCATCCTACCAGAAATCGACTGCACAATGACGACCAATGAAAAGCGCCCGGGCCAGCAAGCAAGTACAAGCTGCCTCAACCGTAGCGGACCCCATGCCCGCAACGACCACCAGCACGCACAGCAGCCCGTCCAACAGGAAAATTAGCTGCAGCAGCAAGTACCCTCAAGCGGCAGGGGGGCGGCGCACCTCCCCACATTAAGCCCGGGACGACGGCCGAGCGGCGTTGCGGGGGGCCACTCGGGCCGCCGTGGCTTGAGGGAGGAGGAGAAGGAGGAGGGGGAGGAGGAGAAGGAGGTGAACAGAAAGAGAAGGAGGATGAGAAGGAGGAACGCAACAAGCGCAGTCTTCATGTTTGGCCAACGTCAGAAAACGAGGCGGAGGAAGAGGAGAAGTAGGGAACGTGCCAGGAGGATGAGGCAGAGCAGGGAGCAATACCAGAGATGAGGGCGGGGACGACGACGAGGGGAGGGAGAAGGAGCAGAAAGAGGAACAGGCAGACAGCTAAAAAACGACATGAGGGTGGAGGAGGGGGAGGAGGACGCGGGGGAGGGCATGAGGATCAGGATCATGAGCTGCCGACCGCCGCCGGCTGGAGGCGAGACGGAGTGTGAGATGATCGGCGTTATCCCTTCAGCCTTGAAGAGAGAAGTGGGTGGGGCGCGAACAAACCAAGGCGCACTGGGGCACTACATGGCTCCAAGCTGGCCACGGATAGCCCGAGATGCCCTAAGATGGCCTTCGCGACGGCCCGAGTTCGCCTTCAAGAGGCCCCGAGGCAGCCCGAAGACAGTTCCAAGTGGCCTATGGGCATCCAGATGATGCCCCAAGGTGACAAACCCATTCAAAAAACAATGCAATATCAGAACGTTGGCGTTATCGTCTTTCTGATTGTTGTTTGTTTCCGATGTTTCAACTGGCTTTAATATCTCCAGAGAAAGCCCCTACGATGGGCACTCCAGTGATCCAAGAGCGCCCCAAGAGGCCACACACGAGCACCACAAAGGTGAAACGTCGGACTCCAAGGTGAGCGTTTTCTTATTCCGTGTGTCGACACTGAGCGGAAGGGGGGGCGGGGAGGGGGGGGTCTGGCTCTGGACCAGTGCTTAATGCGACTGTCTGTAACAATGCGTCCTATGGGAGAGACTCCACCTGCTCAAAACAGGCGCCATAAACAACCAAGATCTACTCCATGGGGGGAAGGGGCGAGGGCGTCGCCGATCGACAAAACAATAAGAAGACGAGCACACGCGGGGGCCCCTGCTTTAGAACCCCTCCCCGATGTTTGGACCGATGGCCTCAAGAACGGCTCTAAGGGCCCCCACGGCCCACACTGAACGCACAGCAGCAAGATGCACGAGTATTGGCTGCTAGAGGGACCTACGTAAGGACGACAGCACCCATCGGTCGGAAAGTGTAGGTAGAGACATGAAGTAGGAGGGCGTTGAAAATATATTGGATGCCCGCCCGCCCCCTAACGAGGACGGTAAAGGTGAAGCCTCTCGATCATCGAAGTAAGAGGGCGCTTCAAGCAGATTGGAACATGGGAATCCAAAACTACCTACGTTCAACTACTGATGGGTACTGGCTTCCATCCAGGCAGGATTGGTCAGGAGGGGCCGAACGCCCCGGCAGGCGTCCGCCGGGGGACCGCAGCAGTAGGTCAGCGCACGGAGGCCCAACGGCCCCTCGGTGTCAACTGCGCGGGCCCGACACAGGGATCCCCGAATCACGGGCAGCCCGCTTCGCAACGCGGAGGCAACGAGAGAAGAAGGTGGAAGCAACACGCCCTCTTGAGGGCCAGGGCGGGTGCAAGCGGAGCCACAGACAACACGAGGACCACCGCCACGACACGAGCGCGCGCGGGCACGGCGCGAGGTGGACGAAGGCCTGGCCGTCTCCGTCTCCCTTGCCAGCTCCTCTAGGGGGGAGGCACTGGGTCGAGAGGGACAAATGGGGGTATGGGGGATCTGGAGTTGAAGAGGACGGAGGGACGGAGGGGCATGACGAGAGATGCGAAGGATACGATGATGTAGCAAGATGTGGTAGAAGGAGGAGGAGGAGGAGAAGGGTGGGGGATGAGAAATGAAGCGAAGGAGACGAGGGAGGGAAAGGAAGCGAGGGCGAAGGAGGGAGGAGGACAAGGAGTCGGGGCGAGAGCGATGATGGAGAAGCAACATTCGGCGGTGTGTACCGAGAGGGAAACGAGAAACTAAATTCACACCTCGACGGAGCAAGCCTCGCGCACCTACGATGTTGGGCGTGCGCCTCAGGTCGAATATCGGCCCCATCAGAACTCAGCGTATCTAGGTCCGCACTGCTATCAACCCTGTTCCTGTGTAGAATGATATCGCGCAAGCCGAACACACGTTCCAACACCAGCGCGCACAAATATAGTTACAATCCTAATGGCGCACGCTGGCAATGCCATGCTGCGAATTGGGATTGCGAACTGCCCGGCGCCACTCCCCTCTACATCCACAATGCACCGCATACGCAATATCCTCTGGCTCATCCTCCGGAAGAGGCATTGTATTGGGGCTCGTCCTCGTTCTTCCATCCATCCCACCTTTTCCTGCTCAGGGCACGTCCCCTTCCCCCTCTTTCCTCTTTGTCCTCGTACGCACATCGCGTCTACCTCATCCTGCTCGTCGTCAACGTCGTCGTCGTCCTCCTCCTCCTCCTCCTCCTCCTCCTCCTCCTCCTCCTCTCATCAGCCTTCTTGTATCCCTTGCCCGTCCCCCTCCCCTTTGTTGATCTCGTCGACGGCGTCGTCATCCTCGTTCTCCGCCTCCCGCTCCACCCGCCTCCTCATCGATGGCTAGATGGAAGCTCAAGAGCCCCCCCCCATTAACCATGCCTACTAACAAGTTAATGAGAATTGAGAGCCCAACCAGCCCTCCTCCTCCTCCTCCTCCTCCTCCTCCTCCTCTTCCGTCTCCTCGTCCTCCTCCTCCTCGTCCTCGTCCTCCTCCTCTCACTTCCCTCCTGCCTGCCGCTGCCCGTGGTGCCCCGGCGCAGCGCGGCGGGAACCGCAGGCGCGCCACCCGCGACGGGCTCCTCGGCCTGCCTGTCCAGCTCGTCCAGCTGGGCGGTCAGCACCTGCGGCGGAAGCTTGCGAGCCTCACATTCCTCTTCTTCCTCCTCGTCCTCCTCCTCCTCCTCCTCCTCCTCCTCCTCCTTCTCCTCCTCCTCCTCCTCCTCCTCCTCCTCCTCCACTTCCTCTTCCTCCTCCTCATTCTCCTCCTCCTCCTCCTGCTCCTCCTCCTCCCCCATCCCCCTCCTCCAACTCCTCTTCCTCCTCCTCCTCCTCCTCCACCTCTTCCCAATCCACAATCTCGCGCCCGCCCCCACCCCACCCCAACCCCGACCCCTTCTCCTAATATATCCTCGCTCTCGTTCTACTGCTCGTCCCCATCATATTCCTCCTCCTCAACCCTCCTCGACATGGTCCTACGTAGTCATCGTCATCACCCTCCTCCTCTTCGTCCTCTTCCCCCTCCCGCCATCCTGTCCTCGGCATGTCCAGTTTCTTCCACCTCCTCACTGTCCACCTCTTCCTCCTACCTTTTTAATGATTATCCTCCCCCTCATGTCCCCCCCTCCATCCACTGATCATCCACCCCTTGCGCCAACTGCTCCCAAGTCAGAGGCTGGATTCTCGGCCACCATCACAGATCTGCCGAAGCGGTGGTAACCAGAGAAGCAGAGCATGAAGGTGAGGAAGACGAGGATGATCCAGAGGGCGAAAGTAACCCTATGCCCCTGAGGTTCACAGGGTGGGAATAATAAAGTTCGGGACCCAGAGGGGATGATAAGCTTCTTCCTGGGGGAAGAAGATGTTGAAGAAGATGATGATGGAGGGAAAGGGGAGAGGTCGTTCGCCACTAGCAGCAGCTCGTTTTCTTCTCCGAAGCCGCAACGTCATTGGCGGAGCGCCGCAGGAGGGGGGTGAGAGAAGTAAGAATCCTGAGAAGTACTAGGGTAATCATAGCGATATCGCGCTCGCTCTGGCGGGGCCTCCCTGGATGGGGTGGGAGGAACATGAAACCTGAAGTACTATGATTTTGCGAGCCTCTGCTCGCTGAGGCCGGGCCTGCCTGGAGGGGTGGGAGTAGGAATCCTGAGACATCCTCATCGATAATATTAAAGGGATGATCCATGACAAGATGATCCAATCTACGATTCGCATGTTCCCCAGTGATAATAGAGTTCGGCCGCGCCGCTCCCCGCCGCCGACCAAACTGTTTTGGTCGGGGCATGCGGTTAACACGTGGAGGAGGAGAAGAGGAGGGAGACCGGGTACGAGGATAGAGCGGAAGGCGAGGGATGAATGAGGAGGGGTGGCGGAACAGGAAATCAACAAACGACAGCGTGATAATGATTGAAGATCGTTGGCCCTCGAGCCAAAGCTCGCGGGTGAATGTTCGTTGGCTTCTCTGGTGCGGGCAGGCGCGAGCGAACGTCACCACTTTGCTTTTTGTTCGTTCAAGACATCGACTTTTCACCACTGTTCCCCTCCCCCTCCTCCTTTCCTCTCTCCCTGCCTTCACCTGCCTCTGCTTCCCGTTTTCCCCGTCCCTTCCCCACCCCTGCCATCGTTTCCCATAATAGCATCCTTCTTACTGCATTCAACATGTGTCTTCCATGCCCAAATCACGTTCACCCTTGTCTCATCCTCCAACATGCTCTCCTCCCCCTACCAGGTCCATCCTTCTTCTCTATACGTATTGCACTGTGTTTGTCCTCCTCGTATCCCCTCTTCCCTCGCCCTCCCTCCCTCCCTCCACTCCATACTTGTCACCTCCTCCTCACCTGCGGGGAAGCCACAAAGTATTGATACCGCTACTCCCCAGACCTCTCCTGGGATGCGTCCTGACAAGGATTGCAAGGCGAAACGAGCAGTGGCGACGAGGGCCTCCCAGGAGGCCCACAAAAAAAGAAACGAGGCTAAAGGTGGCTGTACGGGTACCTTTTCCTCCTCTGAGTTCTCCTCGTCGTCCTCCTGGTCCTCGTCCTTCTCGTGCTCCTCCTCCTCCTCACCCTCCTCCTCTTCCTCCTCCTCCCCCATAAAAGCCCTCTCCTCGTCGCCCTCCCCCTCCGTCCACGCGCTCCGCTTCAAGTCTGAGTTCTGCGGGAGCCGCTCGCACTCGAGCCACACGGAGCGAACGTCACAAAAACAGTCCTGAATAGGAAACGCAAACGACCCCCGACCCCGCAACACTTCTAGCTGAACCCCCCCACTTCTCACTCATCCTCGACCGCGACGCCAATTGAGTTGCGGCAGCCGCTCGCAGTCGAGTCACACCGAGCGACCGTCACAAAAACAGTCACTGATAGGACACGCAAGCAGCCCCCGACCCCCCAACTGGGGAACCAAAAAACACCGATTTCGCCATTCCCAAGACCTCTCCCGGGGTGCGTTCTGACCAGGATTTGCAGGCGAATCCAGCGGTGGCAACAATGGCCTCCCAAGAGGCCCCGAAAAAATGGAAAGCGGGGCACAAGGAAGCGGTATGGGTACCTCTTCCTCCTCCGAGTGACACCTCGAGCTCTTTCCCCTCACTCCTCGCTCTCCTCGGCTGCGACGCTGGTTGGCAAGGGTCGGGGATGGACAGACCCCCCTTTAGTAAAACGTGGTTCAGTGAAAACGACCCGAGGCCCAAACCTGGCGGGCGCAGGCCTGGAAAATGACGGCCACGGCGCCCTCTCGAGAACCGAACACGGACAATTCACTACTCGACGTGTCACTGTTGGGGGCTCTGTCCACCCCCGAAAGGGGGGGTGCAGCCTGGGCCCTCCGGTGCGCCCCCTCCGGCACCAGCGCGCCCTGGCCGGCCCCGGGCTCGCCGTGGCGTCGGGCACAGAGGAGGCCTGAGGAGGCCAGTCCAAAGATCAGGGAGGAGAAGGAGGAGGAGGAGGAAGAGGAGGAGGAGGAGGCGGAGGAGGAGGGATATACCCCAGATTTCGTGGAGGAGGAAGAGGCGGAGGAGGAGGAGGAGGAGGAGGAGGCAGTGGAGGCTAGTCCACAAGAAACCGTTCACAGTATACTCCAGATTTCGTAATAAAAGGGAGGGGGCCTGGACCCTCCAAGACAAGCCATTTCAGACCTCCCCCGTGGGAGAACTCTCCAAAACTCCGTCCCCAGACCTCCCCAGGCCCTCCAAGATAGCCTGGAAGAGACCCCCCCCCGAAATGAGACCCCGCTCCCTTTATTACGAAATCTGGAGTACCCAACCCTGAGACCCCAGGACGTCCACTGAATTTTGGTGTGGGAACGTCACGCTCTGCGTCGCAGAACCATCGAAACCCAAGACAATCAGGGCATCCTGGCATGGGCCCCCACTGTAGGGAGGGCGGAAGGACGAGGGGGAGGGCGAGGACGGGGGGGGGGAGTGGGATGGGGGAAACGACAAGAGGAGATGGATGGACAGGTAGGAAAAGGGGGGAGAACGAGAAGAGGATCAAGGGGGGTGGGAGGCGACGAGGGAACAGGGAGGACGCGGAGGGGGGAGGTACTCGTAGGGGGAGGCGTGGAGGGAGGACGAGACTGAGGCAGTGAGAACACGACGATGGAGAAGGGAGGGGAAGGCGAGAACGAGGGGGGGCGGAGGACAAGAGGGAGGGAGGGAGAGGGAGAAGGGCGAGGAGAAGGCAGTGAGGGAGGAACGGGAGAAGGTAGGCAGGGAGGGAGAGAGCGGGCAGTCGGGGGGGGAGGGGGGGCCAACGTGCTGGGGGAGGGGCGTGCAGATGTGGGTGGGGGATGAGGGCGATGGAATGAGGATGGGAATGGTGAGGGGGAACCAGGAAAAGGATGGAGGACGAGGAAGGGCGATCAACCAGAGGAGGAATCAGGAAGAGAAGGGATGGGAAACAAGGGCAGGCAGGTGGAGAAAGAAAGGAGGTCAGGGAACAAAAAGAGTAAGAGGGAAGGCCGAGAACGAGTGCCTCTGTGGAGACCTCCATGCCTTGCAGCGAATGCTCCTCCTCATGGCCCTGCTCCTCCTCCCCCCCTCCTCCTCCTCGGGGGCGCGCAAACATGGATTAGCGATCCATGGATTTGGCGCGCGGTCGCCAAATCCATGGATCGGGGGATGTGCCCTCCCCTAAATGCGGCCAATGCCGCCTCGCTCGGCGGCGGAAATCTGCGATTTCCCATGGAAACGGGACCCGTCGCTAATCCACGCATGTTAACGGTCGCCCTCCTCCGCCTCCTCCTCCGCCTCTTCCTCCGCCTCCTCCTCCTCCTCCTCCTCCTCCTCCTTTTCCTCCTCCTGCCCCTCCTCCTCCTCCCCCTCGTCCTCCTCCCAGGCCTCTGCCTCCTCCTCCTCCTCCTCCTCCTCCTCCTCCTCCTCCTCCTCCTCCTCCTCTCTACCTCCACCTCCACCTCCACCTCCACCTCCACCTCCTCCTCCTCTCCTCCTCCTCCTCCTCCTCCTCCTCCTCCTCCTCCTCCTCCTCCTCCTCCTCCTCCTCCTCTGCTACGCCCAGGAATAATAATTACCCAAATGACAAGCCCGCGGCATTGTGCGGCCCTGGCTGGCTATCAGATAGGACGCGTTCCTGGGTGGACGGCGATCGAGTCGCGAGACCCACCAGCACGCCGCGCCCTCTGCCCGCGGCGCCCGCGCAAAGCGCGGCAGAGCACCTGTGCCTCCCCGTCGCGCGGACGTCCATTCCCTGGGTTTTTGTTCGGTGTCGTGCGTGCATTTCTGTTCCGCAGGATGATCCAGGATGCTCCTTAATGATCCCCGCCGAGAAAAAGTGCACACGTCCGAGCGACGCCAAGCACTGTGCATGTCAACCGCTCTTGTTGACATGTCACCATCCGAACGCGCGCCATTGTCGGGAGCGGCCAAGAGGGGGGTGTCCAAGAGGGGGGGGTGCAAATCATGACCGGCGGCATGTGCGCGGCCCAGCGGGGGGGCCTGGGACGTAATGAAATAAGAAGAGGCGCCATGAAATCTGAAGAAAAATCATGGCCCGCGCCATGAAATCCCCCCCCCCTAGTCATCACCCCCCTCTTTTCCGCTCCCGACATTGCGGCACCGCGATGGTAAGAACATGCCACAGACCAGCAGGCAGCGGCAACGAAGCGGGAAGCAAAGGCCCGAGGAGAGAGACGGGCGACCGGGGCGGGAGAGGCCACCGAGCCGGGAGAAGAGAAGCGCACGCGGCATCGCTGCCATTCCTGGCAGCACATCTCGGCGGCGAGCCTGGGGGGCACTCAGAAGGCTCGGATATTTGGACGCCCGAAATGGGTACCGAAAAGATGGGTACGACGCCCAACAGCAAATGCTGTCCCAAACCAACAGCGGCCGCTGTTGGGCAGGCGGCCTCCTGTCTCGAATGGACACAGGCCGCGGCGGCGTGGACAGCGGATCTTGTTCAAAATGAGCAGGAACTGCTGTTGGGCACAGTACCCATTCTTTCAGTACCCATTTCGGGCGTCCAGAACTCAGAAGGCTCGGATACCTCCTCGCGCTTTCTGAGAAGTTGCCTGAGCCGTCTCCCAAGGCGAGGACGAATTCCCGGAGGGCGCGAGGGCGTCTGAGAAGTCCCGCCGCCGCCGCCTTCTGAGAAAGGCCTTCTCCTTCTCAGTTCCCTCCCCGGACGCGCCGCCGAATATCTAACAAAATCGGTCCCCCGACCCCGTTCCGGGGTCCATTCAACGCGGTTGCTCACCCGGGATCGCGTCTCGGGGCTCTGGGGGCCCGAAAACGGCCTCCAGAGGCCGAAGACGATGAAAAACCGCATCGGACCTGAAGATCCCCCCCTTCACTCGCCGCCGAACACAGGCCCGGCCCAGCCGTGCCAGGCAGTCCGCATCGGAACGAACTGATCGTGGGACGACGGCGCAGGCCTTCGTGCTGCAAAAGCAGGGACGAGGCCGGGCACACAGGGCCCCCATCGGTCGGAAGAACTGGGCAGAAGCATTCTCCTCCTCCTCCTCCCCCTCTTCCTCCTCCTCCTCCTCCTCTTCCTCCTCCTCCTCCTCGTCCGCCTCATCTTCCAGCGTCCTCCTCCTCCTCCACCTCCTCCTCGTTCTCATCCAGTTCCTCCTGTTCCTTCTCCTCCTCCTCCTCCTCCGCCTTTTCGCCCTGCTCCCAGCTCAGTAGCTGAGGATGTCGGGCGCAGTCTTCGCCTCCCACTTCTCGCACTTATCGCTGTGCGTCTGGCCTCCTCGAGGATCTCACCGAGGCGCCTCGCGAGAGGCGACATCTCCTCGTTGTAGCTGACGACGTCGGGCTTCGGCTTCGCCTCCTCCTCCTGCTTGCGCTGCCCCCTGCTCGGGCCTAGCCACTTGCGGGAGATCTCGGCGCGCGCCCGCCACATCGCCGCGCTTGTGCGGCTTGATCCAGCCGAGGCGACGAGGAGCGACGGGAAATGACCAGCGACATTGGGCTCCAGCTTCGCCTATTGACGCAGATTTCAGGCCCCTGCTGATATCCGAACTTGATTAGCGGGTCTCTGTCACGATTCAAGATGAGCTCGAGCTCATCGGTCGAGGAAGCACGATCCCTCTCGGGTTGGGACAACTGGCGTTCGAACAACGATGGCGGAGGCAATCTGACGAGGCTCCACGCGCACAGGTGCAATCTATGGTGTAACCAGCGTCTGCGGCTCTGGCCTTGGTCCAGCACCCTTGAGTTTAAAAGGTTAAACGGCCCCCTCGTTCATGTTTGCTGAGGGTTGGGCTCTTTAACTCGCTGATCGCTATATCGAAATCTAATGTGGCGCCTGGGTGGCCCAGTTTGTCGGCTGCTCGCCGGCGCAGTTGGCGAGTCCAAGCTGCATGCGCGAGTTGCGGTACGAACGCGGGCGAACAACAATTTAAAAAGGGTGCTGAGCGCCTTCCTTGGACAGGAAAGCTAGAAGCGAAACTAGAGTCCAACCGGTGCGATGCAAGGACAGCACCATGGCTCCGAAGGGCCCGCGCACGCTGCCCCAACGAGTGGTGGCTTGGCCCAGGAGGGCCTCTCCGCGGGAAGGGAGGGTAGACAAGGCAGCAAAGCTTTGGTCTGAATTGGTGGCGGCTGCCCATACAATTAAATGCCGCGCTAGAGCGGGCCCCAGAGCTAGCTGCCAGGTTGGGTCTCCCACGAGGAGCAAGCTGAGGGCCCTGCTTGTGGTGGCGCACTTGGGTCCAGCTAAGTTAAGATACTGTTGTTGGGCCATCACGAGCTGGGAGTTATTGAGGCCTGTCGCTGCACGTGCAAAGGATGTGGCTGCGAAGATGCCCCTGTAAAAGATCTGCCTGGTGTATCATCCTGCTCTCCTGATCACCCCGCGCCTCATCATCCTTCTCTTGATATTGTTCATCCTTGCCGTGGCGAGCCTGCCCTTCCTCCATTTGCACTGGGGGGCGCCAGCTGCGGTCTTGCAGCCGCGGTTCGGGCCTGAGATGCCCAGCGTCGCGCCTGCTCTCTCGCGGAGTTTTTTTTATGCCCTTGCGCAGCTTTGGAGTGGAGGCGAGCATCTGAGTCTTGGCGGGGGCGACTGAGCTGTCGAGGTCATACTGGGTGCACTGGATTAAACTGCTGGTCCCCCGATCTAATCTGGCTACGGCTGCGCTGGCCTGGCGCGCGTGCGCCTTCAAGGGGAGGTCATCTATGAACATGAACAGGTCAAGTATGGGGTTCTGCTGGGTCCAAGAATCGAGGGGGTCTAGCGTGAAGGTCTGTATGAGATACGTGGCAAACCCACACCCTGCTGCTATACCGTACAGAGTATGTCCCACCGACACGACTAGATCCTGGAGGGCGACATATCGTTGGCTAGCGTAGACGCTGAGGATAATACGAAGTATGGCAGCTGGGGAAGCGTTGCGTAGGGCTCGCGTAGCTAGCTTTTCTATTGACGTGCTCATAGTAACTGCTGAGATCGTAGAGAATCATACCTGAAACAAGTCGCTCGTTACGTGTGCTGTAGCTCTCGCAATCGAGGCTTTGCTTGAACACAATTTCCACTATGGAGTGACCTGCTTGATGAGCAAGGAACGGCCGTCTGTGATGGTGTTCCCATTCGCGAGCAGCTGACATTCTTACTCTAGCCCACACTCTACACAGGCCCGAGGCCCGACATCATTCCAATGGATATCATTGCTGGCTTGGTGGCTTGCGGGTCTTGCTGTTTATGTTTCATGATCAGAACTGAAATGATGGCCTGTATCTGTGCGGGCATGAAACCTAATCGTTCGATAATGAAGAGCAGCTTGGCGACCAGGTCGGCCTGCTGCTCTGTGATCAGGGCGAAGTGCCTGGAGTGTAAACGTCCCAGGTCGAAGCGGTCCGAGGCGGAAAGCTTTTTGCGGCTTCGATAATGATTTTTCCCGTCTTGGGGCCCAGGGCGGCTCGATCATCTATGTCACTGGTATGGGCTTACTTGCGGGGTGTCGGACACATCCCAGATGTTCGCCAGCCTCTCCGCTTCACCTTCTAAAATGCTGCTTGGTCGTCCAAGCAATCTTCCTCTCAAATGTGTGGTAGCTGGCTTCCAAGCGTCTAAACTCCTGGTCCATCTGTGAGCCCAGCCGACGCCTTCTTGGAGCGAACTTTGGACACATGAGGCCCATGCTTTTGAAGCTGAGGAGGATGAGGAGGGGGAGGAGGAGGAGGAGGAGTAGGAGGAGGAAGGGGATGAGGCGGAGGAGGAGGAAGGCTAGGAAGGATAGTTACCCCGTCCCTCCGCGGCGGGGCCCGGCAACCGCGTCTGCAGCGTGTCCTCCAAGCTTGCCTCCCACGCCCCCCCCTCCCGGGCAGCCTCGCGAGCGAGAGGCCCCCTGCCATGCAGGCGCCCCGTGCTGCTGCTGCTGCTGCTGCTGCTGCTGCTGCTGCTGCTGCTGCTGCTGCGCATGCGGCCCGTCCCCCGCCCTCCCACGTCTACTCCTCCCTCCTCCTCCTCCTCATCCTCCTCCTCGCCTCCTCCTCGCCTCCTCCTCGCCTCCTCCTCTACCTACTCCTCTGCTTCTCTGCTCCTCTCCTCCTCCTCCTCGCCTCCTCCTCCTCCTCCTCCTCCTCCTCCTCCTCCCTCCTCCCTCCTCCCTCCTTCTCCCTCCTCCCTCCTCCTCCTCCTCCTCCTCCTCCTCTCCTCTCCTCCTCCTCCTCCTCCTCCTCCTCCTCCTTCCTCCTCCCCTCCTCCTCCTCCTCCTCCTCCTCCTCCTCTCCTCCTCCTCCTCTCCTCCCTCCTCCTCCTCCCCTCCTCCTCCTCCTCCTCCTCCTCCTCCTCTCCTCCTCCTCCTCCGCCTCCTCTTCCTCCTCCTCACCTCCTCCTCCTCCTCCTCCTCCCCTCCTCCTCCCTCCTCCTCCTCCCCCTCCCTCCTCCCCACCCTGCCTCCCTCTCTCCTCCTCCTCGCTGCTGCTCCTCCTCCTCCTCCTCCGCCTCCTCCTCCCTCCTCCTCCTCCTCCTCCTCCTCCTCCTCCTCCTCCTCCTCCTCCCCTCCTGCTCCTGCTCCTGTTCCTGCTCCTGCTCCTGCTCCTCCTCATCCTCCTCCTCCTCTTTCTCCTGCCCTCCAACTCTGTCTTTTTCTTTGGGGAGGAAGAGGGGCCACAGCCAGACTGTCGATCCACTGGTCGCTCTGCTGAGCGCAGGAGACAGGATGGGAAAGGAAAGGGCCGATTCGAAGCAATGCATCAAGCGTCGCAGCAACTACTGGAACACTTACCAACAAACAATAAAAAGCCCCTGCCCTCCCACTCTGGTGCTCCTCGTCGTCCTTCACAGCATGCGATCGGTTTGCGTACTTCTCTAATCGGCAGCGAGCGAGGGGGGGAATGAGAAGGAGAAGGCCTGCTCAGAAGGCGGTGGGACTTCTCAGAAGCCCCCCAGACTTCTGAGTTGTTTGTTTTCGGGGAAGGCTCCGAACGCTTTTCAAAGGCCGGTGGACTTCCGAGCCTCCTGAGAAGTCCGCCCCTTCTCACTTCCCCCCAGGCTCGCCGCCGATTAACAACATGCGATCGATTTGTGCACTTCTCTAACCTCGGTGGCTCAAAGACGTGGTCCTGAGGGATGGAGCCTAAAGATAACTAGAAGGGATCCAAGTGTGGATGGATGCACGCTGCTCGAGGCGCCTTGTCCTCATGGCCCATATCCCTGAGGACCCCCTCTTGGAAGCGCCGATCACCATGCAGAGCTCCTGCTCCTCCTCCTCCTCCTCCTCCTCCTCCTCCTCCTCCTCCTCCTCCTCCTCCCCTGAATGGGACGCCCACGCTGGTGAGTCCCTCGGCCAGGCCCTCAGCTTCGCGCTGCTGTGGCTGACGCAGCTGGGCGGGATGCGCGAAGCAGTCGCTGGCGGGCATGGTGCCCACAAGCCGTCCGGGGGCACGGAGCTGCGGGGCTTGGAGAAATCCCAGCTGCAGCTAAACAAAGGGTACGTGCTGAACTTCCTCCAAGCTATGGCATCGCTGAGCGGCGAAATCGTTCCGACCAGGTCCTCGCAGGATCCTGTGTGTGAAGGTACCTGATGTTCTGTGAGCGCTTGGGTTGGCTTAGGCCTGTGCAGGCTTTGGAGGTGGCCGATGTAAACGAAATGAGGAGGCGGCGGAGGCGGAGGAGGAGGAGGACGCCACAGGTAGTAGAGGAAGACCTACGGTCAACCTTGCTTTGACAGAGGCCAGCTGTGGCCCCCACGTCGTTCGGGACTGCGGCGCAGTCGCGGGCGCGCTCTCGCGAGGGCTTCGCGTGGCACTCCCGCCGCCACCGATGCGACCTGCTGGGTTCGACTTGTTCTTGTAGGGCTGCTCAGCGGGGCCCTCGGGGAGGGTCCTGGCGAGTGGGTCCCCTGGCCCTCCGTCGCCTGAAGCGTTATTGTCGCGCTGCGGGATTCGATAAAACATCAAGTAGTACGGCCTTTGCGTTCGCGGCTGGAAACCGCCGCTTTGAACGGATCTCCAGCCGTTTCGAGTGCGCAGCTGGAACTGAGGAGACTCCTCTTCCTCCGTCTCCTCGCACTCGTCCCTGCTCTCACGCCATATCGGCCTGCAATATGCACCTGTGAAAAAATATACGTTGTTTTGTATGCGCCATCCTTGACCCGAAGTTTGCAACTATCAACCAACTGCTCGAATCCCCTCCGTCTGGGAGGTGGCTCCGCCATGGTTGGCCAACTCACGGGTATCATCTCGTTAGGGCTGCATGCCGCAAGGGCCTGCCTTGGCTGAATATCCGACCTGCCACAATCCAATGTCAATATACCACCAAATCGTGACTCGTACCTGTGGGGCCACACGTTGGAACTAATCACTGTGACAACGGTGGCTTCCCGACAGCCGTCACTCAACACAAGTGGCCTAGCACTAGGGGAGGATACATATTAGCACCAAGAAGAGCATTGAGCATGACAGGCATCACTAATACCCCTCAGTGTTAGAACTGTGTGATACACGAGGCGCACATATGTACTTGCATGACTGACATCTGTTGCTCCCTGTCCCTTCTGTGCCGCCATGTCAAAAACATAACACCATGTGGGCGATACTGTTGCATAACATCTCATCCCAACCCACGGCAATGTAAGATGAGGAATCGGAGCCCGAGGCGCGGACCCAAAACACACAAGTAATTCACAAAAGTGAGGAAGGAGAACATGGGGACCAAGGAGCAACGGGGTAATGAAGAAGGGAATGAGAAAGGGACCCGCGGTATGACTTAAAAGGTTGGTGGGACTTGGTAAGTTTACAATTTCTCGCGTGGGCCCCCTCAGGCGGCCAGCGGTGACGCGAGAGCGCGATTCCTGAGCAATGTCAGAGAGGGTTCGAAGCGAGGGCGCGATTCATGCGAAGCGAGAGCACGATCCCTGAGCAAGTTGCCAGGAATTCCAATGTGAATGCTTAATTCCGAAGTAGTGTGTGAGGAAATCCCATCCGAGAGCGTGATTCCTGCGCAATACATAAGATGGTTTAATCTTAGACGCGGGGGATATCCTGAATGAAATGTAGGGGTGTCTCTAGTGGGAGCCGTGTGTTGGCGTGTGTGCTTCGTTTCTGCCCTGATGCCGCCTTCACGTGGATTCTGGACGTTCCAGAGTTGATTCGCTTTGAGGATTGCCCTCCGTCGTGTCCCAGTACAGTCGGGCCGCTGAAAGAAGGAACGCTCAATTAGGAACGACGCCCCTTTTTGGCCCTAGAAGCGCCTCCGTGCCCGAGGAGGGCAAGAGGAACAGCAATGGAGGATTCTAAAAGACATCTAGCCCTTTCCGAACCCACATTGTCCCTGACTTCAGCGTTCTGACTGTAGCTGGGCTCACTGGCGCGTCGGAGACAAGAGTGTGTGTGAGTGTGTTGTGTGCTGTGTGTTGTGTGTTATGTTCGTGTGTGCGTGTGCGTGTGCGTGCGTGCGTGCGTGCGTGCGTGCGTGCGTGCGTGCGTGCGTGCATCGTGTGCGTGTGCGTGTGCGTGTGAGTGTGCGTGTGCGTGTGCGTGTGCGTGTGCGTGTGCGTGTGCGTGTGCGTGTGCGTGTGCGTGTGCGTGTGCGTGTGCGTGTGCGTGTGCGTGTGCGTGTGCGTGTGCGTGCGTGCGTGCGTGCGTGCGTGCGCGTGCGCGTGCGCGTGCGCGTGCGCGTGCGCGTGCGCGTGCGCGTGCGCGTGCGCGTGCGCGTGCGCGTGCGCGTGTGCGCGTGCGCGTGCGCGTGCGCGTGCGCGTGCGCGTGCGCGCGTGCGCGTGCGCGTGCGCGTGCGCGTGCGCGTGCGCGTGCGCGTGCGCGTGCGCGTGCGCGTGCGCGTGCGCGTGCGCGTGCGCGTGCGCGTGCGCGTGCGCGTGCGCGTGCGCGTGCGCGTGTGCGTGTGCGTGTGCGTGTGCGTGTGCGTGTGCGTGTGCGTGTGCGTGCGTGTGTGTGTGTGTGTGTGCGTTTGTGTGTGCGTGTGCGTGCGTTTGTGCTTCTTCTGGGCCCTTCGGAGGCCGACGAGGAGAACAAGGCCCCCGCTCGGGAGTGAGCTTCGTGTTCAAAGAAGATGCAGCACGTGCCCGAGAGCTCGAGTGCGAAGAGACACAAGACATGTTACAGTGGGCAACCAGCGCGCTTGCCAAACGTCACGCAAGTCGGGCGTAGACCAACCCGGCGGCGAGATGGCCCGAAGTGGCCGCGAACGGGTCACAAGACAGGCTGTCCTGTAAATTTGCCAGGGCCTTCATAGGAGACCTCCTAGATGGGGTCCGAGTAGATGGGGTCGGAGGATTGCGCCGCATCGCAGGTACATCGGCGATGCATCGGCGATGCATCAGCGATGCACCATCGATGCATCGCCGACGTCGGCGATGTATCGGCGACGTCGACGTGAAGTAAATCGGGCTCCACATCGAGCCGCATCTGCGATGCGATGCATCGGCGATGTGGCGTGATCCTCCGACCCCATCTACTCGGACCCCATCTGGGAGGCCTAGACTTCAGGGCCCTTCTGGAGGATCTCCTGCAGCTTTCTCGGACGATCTTCGGCTCTATTGGGCCGCCGCAGGGCGCTTTTGGACCGACTGGCGCCTTCGGAGGACGCCTCGGTGGCCTCTCTGCGCCGTTTTGGGGACTCCTCCTCCTCCTCCTCTCCTCCTCCTGCTTTCTCCTCAGCCTCCTCCTCCTCCTCCTCCTCCTTCTCTTCTTTCTTCCCTCCTCATGTTTCTTGCTCAAAGCCGTCTTGGGGTTCTTTGGGATCGAGTCGGGGTGGCCGTCTTTGGCCCCTCTTTTGGGGGCGGGCCACTCCCGGGCGATCTCTACAGCATCTGGGGCTAGCCTGGGGCCCTGGGAAGCCG